CTTGTTGGATGCCATCTGAAAACCACCAAAATCAGGGAACATTTTTTAGCAAAGCAACATACACATGTATCTGCATGTGGTGAGTTTTGAGAAGAAAAAAAATCAAGGATTTTTATATTTATAATCATTAATCTTTTTATTTTTAGTCCATGCATTGAAAAGACTATGTACGAAAAGAGTTGAACCATCAAACATTCCTCTGTTAAAAATAGAAATTTACGTCCATGGAAAGTGCACAAATATCGACCTGTTTTTGTAGAGGGAATGCATGATTGAATTAGTACTATTTCATAACTTAATATTTAAAATATTTTACCATTCATAAGAAAAGAACATTTATTAATTTGTTTATAATGTTAAAATAAGAATTAAGATGTAAGAAAAAGTTTTCAGAGAAAATAATGTGTCAGTATACCCATAAAAAACGAACTCAAAGACGTACACACTTACCTCGGCGTAGAGTAAGACCATACTTTCGGACGGATTCTGTTTCCTTGGTAACGCTATCCCCCTCCCCGGACCAGCTGCAGGAGCAGACGTCAGTGATGGCGGAACGGAATGTTGGTGTGAGTCACGGACCAATTACTTCCCTCGATCACTCACAGAATCCACTGAACAAGATATCGATCTCGATCACCTATTGATCTTCGGCCGATGTATCCACTGAGATTCATGTGCATCCTTCATGAACACTACTCACTGTTTTCATGTACACATAAATGGAAAACGGTTTGGGACTCGACAGGCTTTCGGATTTTTAATGTATTGATACATTATTGTCTTTTTTCCACTTATATTCAAGTTTGTCAGATTGCGGGAAACTGATATATGAATATAAATATTTATTTTGATTCATTGTTTAAGAAATTTTTATGTAGGAATTTCAGTGATAGAGGTAATGTTCTCCTTTACATTACAACGTTGGCGTGTGTCGCATATAGCGTTAGCGTCTCTCCCAGGTTAAAGTTTTAGGAGCAATTTTGTCCATTCCCAAGTAACTATAAGCCCTATCTGATCCAAACTTGCATGGATGTTGCATCTAGGGATGTACACTACCAGACTTGCTTCGGATGCTGGATCTGACCTACATTTTCTAGATGAGTGACCAGGTTAAAGTTTTTGGAACAGGTTAAAGTTTTTGGAGCAGGTCCATTCCCAAGGAATTATAAGTCCTACCCAGACCAAACTTGCATGGATGATGCATCTAGGAATGTACACTACCAGACTTGCTTCGGATGCTGGATCTGACCTACATTTTCCAGATGAGTGACCAGGTTAAAGTTTTTGGAGCAGGTCTATTCCCAAGGAACTATAAGCCCTACCTGAACCAAACTTGCATGGATGATGCATCTAGGGATGTACAATACCAGACTTGCTTCGGATGCTGAATCTGACCTACATTGTCTAGATGAAAACCAGGTTAAAGTTTTTGGAGTAGGTCCATTCCACAGGAACTATAAGCCCTATTTGGACTAAACTTGCATGGATGATGCATCTAAGGATGGACACTACCAGACTTGCTTCGGATGCTGGATCTGACCTACATTTTCATTCCCAAGTAACTATAAGCCCTACCTGAAGCAAACTTGCATGGATGATGTATCTAGGGATGTACACTACCAGACTAGTTTCAGATGCTGGATCTGACCTACATTTTCATTCCCAAGGAACTATGAGCTCTATTTGGACCAAACTTGCATGGATGATGCATCTAGGGATGGACACTATCAGACTTGCTTCGGATGCTGGATCTGACCTACATTTTCATTCCCAAGTAACTATAAGCCCTACCTGAACCAAACTTGCATGGATGATGCATCTAGGGATGGACACTACCAAACTTGCTTTTTTTGCTGGATCTGATATATTTTCATTCCCAAGTAACTATGAGCCCTACCTGAACCAAACTTGCATGGATGATGCATCTAGGGATGGACACTTCCAGACTTGCTTCGGATGCTGGATCTGACCTACATTTTCATTCCCTAGTAACCATAAGCCCTACCTGAAGCAAACATGCATGGATGATGATGGACACTACCAGACTTGCTTCGGATGCTGGATCTGACCTACATTTTACATTCCCAAGTAACTGTAAGTCCTAGCTAAACCAAACTTGCATGGATGATGTATCTAGGGATGGAATTACCAGACTTGCTTCGGATGCTCTCTGAAAACATTTTTCATTCCCAAGTAACTGTAAGCCCTAGCTAAACCAAACTTGCATGGATGATGTATCTTAGGATGGACACTACCAGGATTGCTTCGGATGCTGGATCTGACCTACATTTTCATTCCAAAGTAACTATAAGCCCTAGCTAAACCTAACTTGCATGGATGATGCATCTTAGGATGGACACTATCAGACTTGCTTTGGATGCTAGATCTGACCTATATTTTCCATACAAGAGCCCAGGTTAAAGTTTTGGGAACAGATCCAATCCGAATGAACTTGAAGTCTTTGATATCTGTAGTTTTAACAGTTATGAATATTTGTTTACACAATACATGTTTTTCACACTACATGCATAGAAATGTGTATATACCATGTAGAGGGTTAAGCATAACTTGCAAGAATATTGTTGTTGGGATGAATACTTAATATTAAGAAAATATGATGTAGGATTTGCATTACTTAAATTGATAACATTCGTCGAGGTGAGCTTCGTAATCTTTGATTACCTATGTTTATGTAGGAATTTCAGTGATAGAGGTAATGTTCTCCTTTACATTACAACAGTAAGAAATGTGAACGCATATATAGTGTCAGAAAAAAACACCACTCTCTCCTTTTCCCTAAAAATGCTGTCACTTTGCGTTCAGTGATTTCTCCTAGCTCATTTGAGCTGAAAGCTCAAATGAGCGTGTCTAATCACCCGTCGTCCATCTGTCCGTTCATCTGAAAACATTTCATTTTTTAAACTTCTTCTAATATAAGAAACACTGAACCAATTTTAACTAAAGTTAGTGCAAAGAATCGTTGAGTAAAGGACGAATTAATTTGTTGGAATAAAGGGCCAAGCTCTCTCACAAGGGTTATAATCAAGAAAATGCAAAGTAAGGTGGGGACATTAAAAGTCTTCTTCTCAAGAAACCTGGGCCAGAAAAAGATGAAACTTATGAGGAAACATCCTGGGGTAGTGTAGATTCTATATAATTCAAAACATGATCCCTGGGGGTAAGGCAGGGCCACAATAGGTATTACAAGGGGGATCAGGTGAAGAAAAGCATGGCCAATTAAAGGTACTCAGGTGAGCGTTGTGACCCATGGGTCTCTTGCTGAAAATAAAGTTTTAGTCGTGTAGTTATTTTATTTTTGAATAAAAATCAGTAAATGGACACTCTAAATAACAATTGTTAATGCTCTAATGACTATACAAAATAAGTGTTTTTTTCTTCATGTTTATCTGAAAGATTAAAACAAATACAAGGTGACTTGTCTGTTTTCACAGATATGTGGTCACACAAACAAATTTAGATTATAGCAATGAATAAGCAGAATACTATAATATAGATACAAAAAAATTTGAATATCATATATATAGAATGTAAAATTCAACGGCTTTCTCGACATAAAATTGGATTTAATATTTTAAATCTCAAATCAAATTTGCTTTACGCAGTTTCTGTTGGTTTGCGTTTGCACGAGTCTTGTAATTGGCCATCTTAGGTAACATATCTATAGCAAACATTGATACACAATCAAAACCCAAATCTGTAATGGCCCTGTAAGATGAAGCAACTCGGATCTTTACAGTTTTCTTTCCTGTTTTTGAATGTTATATTTTGGGTGAGTTTGAAAAATCTAATATATAAACTCTTTTTTGTAATTTAGTTTAAGATCTGTAGATTCTAATACTAAAGGGGGAAATAAATGGGAACACCACTATCTAGTTTGAAGTAGATTAAGTATCATTGATTAATTCCAGTCATGTAAATTTCAGTTATGTCTTCTTTCAAATACTTAATCCAAACACTGAAAATATTAATTTTTTGAAGTGCTGTACAATATCAGTTTATTTTTGTCCATATTTTTCGTCGATAAAGAGTATCTGTAACGTGGGAGTATGTTCCCCAGACCTAATGCACCGACGTGGTCTGCATCTTTTTCTATAATGAAATTAATATTAATACTATGCTTTTTCATCTCTCTAAAAAGTCTGTCTAAATGGCGTCTGAAACCATTTTAGGTGCTTCCCTTAGTAGATTCGCTTTGTCGTATACATGGTATCAATTGTAATATTATGTTCTACAACTTTTATTGTTTTACTTACTTAATACTTTAGATATTTAAGATAATGTAGAAATCTAAGGAAGTGATTTGTTTCCATGTTATGTCCTATTTTGTTATTTTAGGCTGAGGCTGTTGAGATAGTCCTGTTTTTGTAGTCTGTTGGGACTTCTTAATCCTATTTTTGTAGGCTGTTTGGGTTAACTTATCCTATTTCGTTCTGTAGTCAGTTGGGATTCACAAATCCTATTTTTTTTGTAGGCTTTTAGGATTGACTAATTCTATTTTGCTATTGTATGCAATTGGGATTAAAAAAAATTTATTTTATTGTAAGCTGTTTGGATTGACTAATCCTTTTTTTTAGCAGTTGGGATTGACTTTTCCTATATTGTTATTGTAGGAGACAGGGATAGACTAATCCTATTTTGTTATTGTATAGACTGTTGGGTTTCACTTTTCTGTTTGTGATAGTACGCTATTGGGATTGACTAATCTTGTTTCGTTATTGTAGCTATAGACGGTTGGATTGACTTATTCTATTTTGTCTTTGTAGGCTTTTGGGATCGACTAAATCTATCTTTTTTGTAGGCGGTTGGGATTTACTAATCATATTTATTCATTTTTTTGTAGGCTTTTAAAACTGGTTGATGCAATTTTTTTTGTAAGCGGTTGGGATTAACTTACCCTTTTCTGTTCTTTTAGGCGGTTGGGATTGACTAATCCTATTTTATCTTTTAGGCGGTAGGGATTGACTAATCCTATTTTATCATTGTAGGCGGTTGGGATTGGTATCGTGGGATTTGTATCCTGGACGCTGTCATCGCTTCCCAATAACACAGAGTTCCTCTCCGTAGCCTTCGTAAGTATATCTAAAGCTGTGAAATTAAATCTTCGTAAACTTACCGTTCTGGTCTTCTGGAGCATAAACGTACATGTATCTGAAGAAATGTTGTCTTAAATGTCTACTAAGTTTGAAAACATATAATTCAGAATAGTGTATATCAAACATCATTATTTATTTTAAATTACAGGCGTTTTTGTACATCATCTTGTTCCTGGGTCTCGTCATTGCAGCCACAGGTACGTGCCGAGTTAAGAAAGCTCTAAACACTAAAAGAAACTGTATTTTGGGGAGTTATATAATCTCTACAGTGAAAAAGATAATATACCCGGTAATCAATAATTGACGAATCTTTTTATTTCACAGGTTTATTAGGATGTCTTGGGGGAATGTCCCGGAGTATCTGTCTACTCAAATGTGTGAGTAAAATCTCAACAGATTAACCTTGAGCTTTATAGTAGAATGAAGGTCAACCTTTTTACCGAAAAGTAATGTAACGTTCTTACAAAGAACAAATGATTGATAATTGGGTTCGCTTAGGTTTCCTTCCTAAAAATCACATTCAAAATATAAGATCAAAACAAACTTCAATAATTTTAAGGCGCTAAAAAAAACAACTGGCTGAAATTCATTATAAATACTTTTTCCTTGGTCCTATCTGGATAATGATTAGTAAACTGAATAACAACGAACTATAACAAAAGAAAAAACGAATAATCAAACCAACAATCAAATATAAGTTATAACACTGTAGCTGCAGACTGAATGGTTTCTCACCAATTCTGTTGCTTCCAGACACAGTCTGCAATTACTTGAAAAACACACCCTAAAAGTCACTGAGACACCAAAACACTGTATAAATTAAGTCATCAAGACACTATAGTCACTGAGATACTAATAAGGAACTAATAAGGAACACTATAGTTACTGAGACACTAATAAGGAACTATATAATAAGGAATTCTTGAGCTGAGTGGTCTAAAGGACAGTTCTGTTTTTTCCCGACAAACCCGAGAACCTAACCCAAGTGGTTTTAATCAAGCGATGAGTAACGACCAAGTAACCGAATATGAATGGATGTCCTTATTTATACCTTTTCTAATTACATGTACTTATGATTGGCTGATAATTTGGGAACTCTGATTGGCTATTATGTAAACGTTGGTTGGTTAACTATAAAATGATTCGATTGGACAATTTCAAAGGCATTTCAACCCACTAAGATTATTTTATTTCATTACAGTAAGAGAAAAGCCCACTGATTCTATCCGCCCCGCCCCATAACATTTTCACCTTCTCTCATTTAACAAAATAATTAATTTAACATTTTTTCAGTACTCTGGATTTATGGTGGCTTTCATTTTCATTGAGGTTGCCATAGCGATTGGTGCGTACACACAGCAGGATCAGGTAAGCAGTGGCGCTATACGTAATGACGCTGTACTTAATGACGCTATACTTATTGACGCTACACTTAATGACGCTATACTTAATGACGCTATACTTAAAGGGGGGGGGGGGGTCATGTCCGAAAAAAATGTGTTAAATTTTCAAAACTTTTACATTTCTTTCCTTGCCACTTGCTTTTGATTTTTAGGCATTAAAAACAGTGACGCTATATTTAATGACTCTATACTTAATAAAATTAATCACTCATTCTGCTTCAAAACTCTACTGTTTTTAGAGTGTTTCCTCTGCTTAATTTAGTTACAGAACCATACACTAGTATGTACTAGAAGGTACTGTACATACCCATCTAATAGGTTGTACATACCCATAAACATGTGCATTCTCATAATTATATACATGACTATAAATGTTCATGAGTTTGTTTAATTTTTTTTTATTTGCAGATCCCTTCATTAATCACTTCTACATGGCCAAAGCTGAACAATGACACTAAGTTTACTCTACAGGCGGGGGTAAGTTTACTTTACAGGCGGGTGTAAGTTTACTCTACAGGCGGGGGTAAGTTTACTCTACAGGCGGGGGTATGTTTACTTTACAGGCCGGGGTAAGTTTACTCTACAGGCGGGGGTAAGTTTACTCTACAGGCGGGGGTAAGTTTACTTTACAGGCGGGGTAAGTTTACTTTACAGGCGGGGGTTAGTTTACGCTACAGGCTGGGGTATGTTTACTTTACAGGCCGGGGTAAGTTTACTCTACAGGCGTGGGTAAGTTTACTTTATAGGCGGGGTAAGTTTACTTTATAGATGGGGGTAAGTTTACTTTACAGGCGGGGGTAAGTTTACTCTACAGGCGGGGGTAAGTTTACTCTACAGGTTGGGGAAGTTTACTTTACAGGCGGGGGTAAGTTTACTCTACAGGCGGGGGTAAGATTACTCTTCATGCTGGGGTAAATTCGTGCTATAGTCAGGGTAACTTCACTGGAATAACCCGAACGTAAGAGGTTTATAGGTAAGTTTATACTACAGGTAGGAGTAAGCTCACAGAAAGGGTAAGGTTAAATT